CACTGTCTCTTCCCTTTTTCTTAGCTTTGTGTGGGGGGTCTCCCTGCACACGATCCTGACCGTGCAGAGGGCGTGAGACTCACACCGTCCCCAGACCCCCTACCTGGGGTCTCACGTCCCCTCGGTCAGGACCCCATGGCTGTGGTCCGCGGGCCCCCAGTGTGTAAACCAGCCAGGCCCCTGGGGCCTCCCGGGACCCCAGAAAGAAGTGAAGGCTCCTCTCCTCTCCTCTCCCCACAGCGGTCCCTGAGAAGTCAGGCCCCTCCTGTTTTCACTTTGGTTCTGTGTGATTCTTTGCTGGTTTGAAAGCTCGTGCTGGAGGTGAACACACCACCTTGGTTCTGGCGGGCTCTGTCCGTCTTGTCCCGCTGAGATGATGAGAAAACAGGAGAGCTGGGCCGGAAGCCAAGCGGCAGCTCTGTCCTCTGAGGAGAGTCTGCCGGGAGGAGATCACAGCGGCAACCTCAGCTGCGGCCCGCGGACTTCTTGCCCGATCCCTGGGCCCTGGAATCACTTCAGCAGGTGAACCTGCCTCCCTACTCAACCTGAAGGTGCTGGGAAATTGGAGTGATTACCAGGTAGCCCACCTGAGGGGCCTCCGTGCCCCAGGGAGGGTGAACCTGGCAGGGAGAGACTCAGAGCCTGCCGCAGCACTGCCCCTGGGAGGGCCATGGAGCCCCCTCAGAGAAGAGCACGATGCCCAGAGAAGCCCACCTCAGCTCCAGGCCCCCGACATCTGAGCTCTGACATTCAGGCGCAGGCGCGGAGTTTTCCAGGACAGAGGCCCGGCCAGGTCTCTACCCAGGTCTCCAGTGCACACAGAACAAGGTCGGGTCTAAATGTTCTCATCGTAGAAGCACACGGTCAAGTCTAAACGTCATCAGTGCAGACAGGACTTGGAGAGGTCTAAATCTATCATGTGGACAGACCTTGGTCAGGCTTAGACTATCTTAAAGCTGCTCACACAGGTCACACATATACAGGGTGTCTCACTGTTGGAGGGGGCTCACCCTCGTGTGGACTAGCATGTAGGTTTCTTGACTAAGAAATTGTCACTGGGCTCCAGACTTCACCCACATCAGGAAACTGAAAGAATCTGTGTCATTAAACATTTCAACTGGCAGAACAAAAATGTTACCACTTATGTAGCCATGTGATGGTCAGGATCCAGGGGAGAGCCAGGAATTTCTTAGAGTGCAGCCCAGTGTCCTGTAAAGACAGACAGGAAGTGGCGTGGTTCCAGCATCCAAGGCTTACAGCAGGAGACGACCACACTGGAAGACTTCTGGAAAAGTATTGTTGAGATTACAAGCATACTATTATTTGCGAACCTAAACTATTCTTAAAACCTTGGCACCCTGATCTTTGTGGTTTCCGTTGGTTCCTTAGTATTCAGATTTTTCTAGGTAGAAACAAGCCATCATTTTGAATTAGTTTCTTATAATTCTGTATTTCTTATTATATGAATGAAAGGTCACACTTGAAAAAAATTCCTGCAAACAATTAGTGACTCATGGAGCCCATTAACTGCATGTACTTTGTCTTCCAAGTTTCATTTTTCTCCCTGAAGAAACCTGAAAAAATAGTCCCCCTGATGTTTTTGCTCTGTTTAAACTGAATTAAAATGAAATTGATACTCATAGCAACAGATAAGAGTTTTTGACGTTTGATATGTCATACCAGGATAACAGGGGCTGGAGAAGATGGAACCCGTCTATGCTGTTGGTAGGCAGACAGCATCCTTAAATTTTTTGGGTGTTGGTTTAAGTATGTGCCAGAATATTGTACAGATCCAAATTAAAACTGTCATAAAGTTTTCATTGGCAGGGTCACCACCTTTGAGCATAAGGGTGTCCTGCAGTCCTGTGGCAATCCCCCACAACAGCAACCTAAAAGGTTTTCCTTTTAGTACTTAATATTCACAAAAATTGCTGAGCTCTACATAACACTAGATCTCATGAAACCCCCAGAGATAAAGAATTAAAATGCAAAATAGGTCAAACTATCAGAAGAAAATATCACGAGGTAAATACAATCTATAATTTTTTTAAAGGAAGTGCAAGAAAAGGTTCTCAATTAGGTGAATAATTAGACACAAGGCAATCAAAATGACAACAATCTATCGCCATAGAGAAGTCCAAAGACCACTCTCAAAAAAATCTAGAGACAAAAAATGCTACAGTGGGGTGAAGAAAAAAGACTCTTATATAGTGCTGGTGAAATTTTATTGGTAATTGTTGCTGGGGGGATGTATCTAGCTGTGCATTTTAATGTTTGAAACAGATGAACTATATGATCTGGCAGTCCAACTTCTGAGAGCAAATGTGGAGAAAATCAGATTTTGGAAAACTCATGCACACAATTATGCACCACAGCAATTCACAAAATAGCCCAGGTATGGAAGTAAGCAAATGTACGTGGACAGGTGAATGGATAAAGAAAAAGTAATACATTCATATAACAAAATATGACTGACTTTAAACAAATGAAATAATGTCAACTGCAGGGACACAGATAAATCAAAAGGTAAAGTTAGATGGAGAGATAAAATTATTATATGGTTTTTTTCATATATATTTTCATATATATGTATTTTTCAGGTACAGGTGGGAAAGAATACTCATCATGTGTGTGCATCCTAAGTCACTTCAGTACTATGGACTGGAGCCTGCCAGGCTTCTCTGCTCATGGTATTCTTCAGGCAAGAATACTGGAATGGGTTGCCAAGCCCTTCTCCAGGATATCTTCCTGACCCAGGGGATTGAGCCTGCGTCTCCTGCATCTCTTCCATTGGCAGGCTGGTTCTTTACCACCAGCACCACCTGGGAAGCCCTATGCAGAGTACATCATGTGAAATGCCAGGCTGGATGAATCACAAACTGGAATCAAGATTGCCAGGAGAAATATCAATAACCTCAGATGACACCACCCTTATGGCAGAAAGTGAAGAGGAACTAAGCCTCTTGATGAAGGTAAAAGAGGAGAGAGGAAAAGCTGGCTTAAAACTTAACATTCAAAAAACTAAGATCATGGCATCTGGTCCCATCAATTCATAGCAAATAGATGGGGAAACAATGACAGATTTTATTTTCTTGGGCTACAAAATCATTGCAGATGGTGACTGCTACCATGAAATTAAAAGATGCTTGCTCCTTGGAAGAAAAGCCATGACAAACCCAGACAGCATATTAAAAGACAGAGACATTACTTTGCTGACAAAGGTCCATCTAGTCAAAGCTGTGGTTTCTCCAGTACTCATGTATGGATGTGAGAGCTGGACCATAAAGAAGACTGAGTGCTGAAGAATTGATGCTTTTGAACTGTGGTGTTGAAGAAGACTCTTGAGAGTCCCTTGGACTGAAAGGAGAGCAAACTAGTCAATCCTAAAGGAAATCAGTCCTGAATATTCATTGGAAGGACTAATGCTGAAGCTGAAGCTTCAATACTTTGGTCACCTGACACGAAGAGCCAACTCGTTAGAAAAGACCTTGATGCTGGGCAAGATTGAAGGCAGGAGGAGAAGGGGATGACACAGGATGAGATGATTGGATGGCATCACCAACTCAATGGACATGAGTTTGAGCAAGTTCTGGGAGATGGTGAAGGACAGGGAAACCTGGGGTGCTGCAGTCTATGGGGTCGCAAAGAATTGGATAGGACTGTTGTTCAGTTGCTGAACAACAATTCAGGACTGAGCAGTACCCTTGAAGAGGCAGCAGAAAGGATCCCTTCTCTGTGAGGTTCCCCTTAACCATACAAACTACTGTGTAATAACTTGCAGCCCTTATACATATAATAATCTGCATTTCACCATATCCCATACTGAATTGTGTCATTAAATTTTCAGTTGGGACCCAAGCTCATCTCCCCAGTTATCTGCAAGGTTTTTGAGGATCCTTCACCACTTCTATTCCTTCATACCACCTATCACAGGGACTGAACAAAGATAATCAAACGACTTGATTGCTCGGGGTGAAGCTACTGACGAATAACCCAAACCACAAAAATTATTTTGTTATATAGTATTATGAAATTTTAGGAATACATCTATCTCTGTATTAATGTTTTATGCCTTGTATTCTGCGATTCCTGAGCTCAAGTTTCGTTAGCTAGGTATTGGGGATGAGAGAGGGGCATTGTGGAATGTGGGGTGAATGTTAAAGTGTATCAGGCCATCGAAAAAATGCCCATTTGAGATTAAAACAAACTGGATTACTGAGCTTGCCTAAACGGTAGGAGGTGTTAGCAGAGTTCATTTAAACACTGCAGCTCTCACTGAGTCTGGAGGTGCATTACCTGCAAGACTGCTTGCAGGTCCGCACCGCTAGGAATGAAGCACCTGTTTGGCGAGCTAGTGCTCTGCAAGATCTCAGCGCCCAGACCTGTTCGCGCTGTGCAGTCACGGCGCCTCCTCACCACCAGGCGGCGCCGTGCAGCGCCGAGCGGATCCGGGGAGCGGATCGCACGGCGCTCTCCCCGCACGCCGCGCTCCGACTGACGTCGACCCGGAAGTAGTCGCCGGCGCCCGGCCGGCCGGCAGCCCTAACAGCAGCAGGGCTGCGGAGGTTAGGTACCCGGCTTCTCCAGCCAGGCGAGGGCCCCTCCTAGGCGGCGAAGGAGACGCCACCGCGTTCACTGGCGGCGGGGCTCAGCCAGACGGTGCGCGAGTCGGTTGCGGGCACCTCGATGGTGGACTCACTAAATATTCGGTCGGTCCACGGCCCTGCCCGGTCTCTGAGGCCGCAGGTCGTCGACCCCGCACCATGAAGGTCGCAGGGTCTTCCTCGAGGGCAGCGTCCCGGCCGGACGGGGCTGCGGCGAGGCCGAGCCTCCGAGCCGCCCCTGTCGCCCGGCCTTGCCTGTAGGACGTCAGGGCCCGCGACCCGGCTCAGGCCTGACCGGCCCCCGGCTCTTGTGTCCGCGCCACATTAGGCGCCCGCATCCCTGGCTTTGACGTGAGGGAGGGGGGCTCTGGTCCGGGGAGCCCCCGCCCGCCTGCCATGAAGACAGAGACGGAGATCCTGGCGCCGGAGCCCCCGGCCGGGCCAGGCGTCAGTCACCTGCTGAGTAGCCGGAAGCTGCTGGCCCTGGGGGCCGTGCTCGGCTGGCTCCTGGTCATCCACCTCCTGGTCAACGTGTGGCTTCTCTGCCTTCTGTCTGCGTTGCTGCTGGTGCTGGGAGGATGGCTGGGCTCTGACGCCATCGTGGGGGCTTCAGGGCGGCTGCACCTGGAGCGCTTCGTCCCAATGGCCGTCTGCCCCCCAAACCCCGAGGCGGAGAGGCAGCTGGAACAGGAGATCGACCGCACCATCCGGATGATCATGCGGGACTTCGTGTCGTCCTGGTACCGCACGGTGAGCCAGGAGCCAGCCTTCGAGGAGGAGATGGAGGCAGCCATGCGAGGGCTGGTCCAGGAGCTCCGGAGGAGGATGGCCAGGGTGGACAGCCACGCTCTTGCCCAGAGGGTTCTGACTCTCTGCGGTTGTCATCTACAGAGCTATATTCAGGCGAAGGAGGCTGCAGGGAAACAGAGTGGCCCAGGGGAGCCCTCCAAGCTCTGGGAGGCTTACTGCCGGGCCAGCGCTCCACACCCTGCAGTGCAGAGCCCTAGCGCTGAGGTCACCTACACACGGGGCATCGTGAACGTGTTGCTTCAAGGACTAGTGCCGAAGCCGCACTTGGAGACCCGGACCGGCAGGCACATAGTGGTGGAACTCATTACTTGCAATGTCATCTTACCGCTGATCAGCAAGCTCTCGGATCCGGACTGGATCCACCTTGTACTCGTGGGCATCTTCTCCAAGGCCAGGACTAAGCCAGCAGGAGTGGCTAATCCACGCTGCCCAGCCAGTGCCCTGGAACAGCCCTCAGTGCCCGCATCTCTGCCGCTGATTGTCGAGGTCCAGGGTCTCGCAGAAGCCCCTTCTCCAGCAGCAGCCCCGATGCTCCTAAGCTGTAGTGAGCCAGATGGGCCTTCACACCCCTCCCCAGAAGTTGAAGAAGGCCATGAAGCGCTGGAGGGAGATCTGGGGGGAGTGCTCGAGGAGAGAAAAGTCGGAAACAGCTCTTCTCGTTTCCTGCAGCCTCTGTTCTTGTCTGAAGATGCAGAGCTGGAGTCCCCGTTGTCTGAACTGGGCAAAGAAACCATCATGCTCATGACTCCAGGCCCCTTCCTCTCTGCCAGGATTCAGGATGCCTTGTGTGCCCTTGGGAGCTCCCAGCCTCTGGAGCCTAAGGATGGCAAGGGACCCGAAGGAATAGAAGGAGCGGAAGCTGAGGAGGGTCCAGGAACAGAAACGGAGCCGGGCCTGCTTGCCTCCATGCTGAATTCCTGCCCAGAGATCCAGATTGACACAGCGGACAAGGAGGGAGAGCAGGGAAATGGCGCCTCTCTCACAACTTTGCTGCCCAGTCCGGAGAGGATATGTCCCCCACGCCCCTTGTGTTTAGAGAAGGATCTCACCAATGGTGGGAGCTCCCTGGACTCCAGTCTGCCACAGGTCCTGCTTTCCTCCTCTCCACCTGGACCCCTCAGCTCAGCCACCTTCAACTTTGAGCCCCTGGGCAGTCCAGATGGCCCCGTGGTCATCCAGAACCTTCGCATCACTGGCACCGTTACTGCTCGAGAGCACAGTGGCTCCGGTTTCCACCTGTACACGCTCTACATGGTGAAGGTAACAGACTTAGTGCGCAGCCACCTCTCTGGTCTGGGAATGGACTTGGAAAGCAGTCAGTGAAGCCAGTGTTTTGAGGGAGGAAGTCTGCTCTTAGTTTGCTCTGGTTAATTCAACCAGTATCACTGTGGAGGGTCTGAAGCCCATGAGTAGGCTTCCATGACACTCTCACAGACCGTCCTAGAATCTCAGGGCTCTCACTGTGTTGGGAATCATATTTTTCCAATGGATACAGCCCAGAAATCCTTTCCAGACTCCTTCCTTGCTAATTTCTTTTTTAAATACTAACATCCTTTATACTTTGTTTTAGGAAGGAAGATTGTTTACCTGTATATATCGCGAAAGGTGGCAAGTCCCTCTCCCTGGAGATGTTTAAGTGTGGTAGTAGGAACTGCTTGGCAGAAGTGATAGGAAGGGGGTGCCTGTATCAGGTGGCTGGTTTGATTCAAGCAGCATCTCCCTAAAGCTGATTTTGATAGAGAGAAAGTCGCTCAGTTGTGTCTGACTCTTTGCAACCCCATGCACTATACAGTCCATGCAATTCTCCAGGCCAGAATACTGGAGTGGGTAGCCTTTCCCTTCTCCAGGGAATCTTCCCAACCCAGGGATGGAACCCAGGTCTCCCACATTGCAGGCAGATTCTTTACCAGCTGAGCCACAAAGGAAGCCCAAGAATACTGGGGTGGGTAGCCTATCCCTTTCCAACAGATCTTTCCGACCCAGGATCAAACGGGTCTCTTGCATTGCAGGCAGATTCTTTACCAGCTGAGCTATCAGGTTTTGATATAGGCTGCCTCCAAGTTTCCCAGAGAGTTGTATTTTTAAAAAATAAGGAATCCTGGGACCCATTTTTTCTTGGGAAATTCTCATTAAAAATCCATTGGCACCCGTCAGAATCCATATTCTGACAGCAGGTTCTGCAGCCCAAGAGATTCTGAGGCCTAGCCATGTTTGGAGACGTACTTATATCATACAGTGTCCTTCACAGAGTAGAATAGCCACAGAGAGCATCATTGCTCTCAGGGGCTCTGAATGTGAGAGCCCTCACCTCAATTCCACAGGCATCTCTTATCTAGGCCTTTCCTTCTCAGTACTGGCCTGAGAGACTGCTTTGCTCATTCCAACTCGTAATGAACACCCCTGTCTGCCTCTAGACAAGCTTTCAACACCAGCCTCAGTCTCATCACTCTTCTACTGCTTGCCCACAGAGTACCTTAACCAAACAGGAGCACTAACCTACTCCTGATGAGAACAAGCACATGTATCCTTCTCCCACAGTGTTCATTGTATCTTACACAGTCCCCCCCGTAGGTATGAAGTTGCAGCATTCATGCTGTTCAGGGCATTCTCTCTGGGGGGACATTCAGCACTGCTGTCTTTTCCCACATGCCAGCCCTCCTCACATATGAAGACAGCCGACTGTGACCCCATAAAACATCTCCAGTCTTCACATGTCTTCTCATCATACAGACAGATGATCCGTACTTGGGAAGAAAGAGTCAGTGTTGCTCCAAGATTAGTAATTAATCAGCCCCAAGCAGAACAAAAACACATGTTCCTTTAGTGTAGTCCAGGCAAACAAATGATTGTTGTTTCTCAGCTGTTTTGGATTATTTGTTCTTCCCTCAAGTAATATAGATAATCACTGGTTTGAGGATAATGACAAGATGGTTATCTCCCCATAACACCCAGCCTCATAATTTAGGGGTGAGAGAGCCGGTATCATTATCAGTGTCGTACTGTTTTATCCTCCGTCTTTGAGATTTGAAAGTGGCTGTAATGTTTGCAGGGAGAACTTTGAGATGGAAGGAGGAGTGAAAGGCAGTAGAATTTCATTTCCCACTTCCTGGACCACCTCTGTTGGGAAAGGCTTCTCATTGCATACTGCAGCTCCCCTGGGATTTGAGCTGTTGGTTAGAGCTTAGAGAGGCAGTCAGACCTGAGAGGCTCGGGGACAGAACAGGAAGCGTGTGCTCCCTTGACCCTGCCCTGCTCTTACTGTGTGCCGGTGAGCTGGTGCAGCCAACAGACGTTCTCTTGACAGTACGAGACGGCCCTCGACGCTGAGAACAGCGGCGGCCTGCAGCAGGTGGCCTACCACACTGTGAACCGCCGCTACCGCGAGTTCCTGAACCTGCAGACCCGTCTGGAGGAGAGATCGGATCTCCGAAAGTTCATCAAAAGTCAGGAGTTCCCCCAACCCCAGAATGCCTGCTTGCTTTTCACATCCAGCCACCCTGATCTGAGAGGCTGGAGGCCTGTTGTCTGTGAAGAGGGTGGGAAGGGAGAACGTGGCCTTGAGGGTCCCGTGCTCCTTCCGTTTGCTTTTAGGTGTCTGGGGTTTTAGTGCTGGGCAGCACTCATGACATGCTATCCAGGGTACTGTTTTGCCTCTGAATGCCTTGTTCTGGGGCCCCATCCAGTTTACTTAAGAAAGAAACTTTCATATTTCCACCTGTGCCTGTGAGGAGTTAAACAGGTTCATAGACTGGTTGCTGTTAAATATTAAACTGTTTTCCAGAAATCCTTGCCGCCTTTCCTTTAATGACAGGCTTCTTGGTGTGCCGTTTGGTTCTCATAAGGCACAGGAACAGTAAGAAAACATAAAATTTAATTCAAACCATAAAAACTGGTGAGCAGCTACTCTGTTTTTTAAGAAAATGCCAAGTGAAAATGAAAGTCGCTCAGTCATGTCTGACCCTGACTATATAGTCCATGGAATTCTCCAGGCCAGAATAGTGGACTGGGTAGCCATTCCCTTCTCCAGGGGATCTTTCCAACCCAGGGATCAAACCCAGGTCTCCCGCATTGCAGGCGGATTATTTACCAGCTGAGCAGCCAGGGAAACCCATGATCACTCAAACATTTTTAATAAGTTGTGGCATAAATCATGGATTTCAGTTATAGGTTTTCTTTCTTAATAGCAATAGTTAATACTGAAAATATATGCCTGGTTCTCTACTAAGCATGTTATACATATTAGCTCATTTAGTTCTAACAACAGTCTACAAGATGGATACTATCATCATCCTCATTCTGCAGAAAAAGCAAAGGTTAAGCAGGTTGCCTAAGGCCATTATTACAGCAGAGATTGGAGCCAAAATTTAAACTTGGGCAGTTAGGCTTCAGGGCTGTTGTGCATCACTACTATAGTGAACTCTTATGCCTTAATATTATCGTGAATAATGAAAGTAGGCTGTCTGTATTATGTCCTTGGGTTATATCTCTAACTCCTGAAATAAAAAAAATCCCGTGGAGGGGAGGCCTCAGGGGAGGGACTCTGAAGGGATGAGGCCCAGGCCTTGGTACCCAGCTCCCACCCCAACCTCAGGTCACTTCTCAGCTCAGTTCACAGGTGAGGGGAAAAATCCCCACGAAATACATTTGGCATTTGTGTCTTATATATGTGATGGGTAATAAATGGACTAGTTCTTAGTAAATGTTAATCAATTAACTTTTTTTTTTTTTTTTAAGATGTGAAGGGCCCCAAAAAGCTCTTTCCAGATCTTCCGTTTGGAAACATGGACAGTGACAGGGTGGAAGCCCGCAAGAGCCTCTTGGAATCATTTCTCAAGGTCAGCATCCTGTGCTGCCACTGTAGCCGCCAGACACCCAAACCAAGGTGGGGAGACCCGGGGCCTGGAGTTTCTCTCTGAAGTGCTTCTCGTGTCTTTGCAGCAACTCTGTGCCATTCCTGAGATCGCTAACAGTGAGGAGATGCAGGAGTTCCTTGCTCTCAACACAGATGCTCGTATTGCCTTTGTCAAGAAGCCGTTTGTGGTCTCCAGAATAGACAAGGTATGAGCGGGACTGCGTGCTCAGCCTTAGTTTCTCACGGGGAGCAGGGGAGGCATGTTTGAAAGGTAAGGGAACCGGGGGAAGGGGGAGCAGCACAGAGGAATAAGTGGAGCATGGACTGGGGTTTTGCAGGCCTGCTACCAGTCCTGGTGAGGTGAGCATTGCTGAATGACCATCAGCAGCCATGAGTGTCAGTACTCTCAACACTGTAAGCGTGCACAGGTCTCCTGGGGATGTCATGACGCTGTGATTCCAGGGGAAGGGTGCAAGCATCAGTCCACATCTCCACGGACAGGCGGGGGCAGGAAGGCCTCCTATGGCGATGAAGGTCATTCCCAATGTTGGTCACTCAGGATGGTGTCCTTAGGCCAGACACCGAGCTGGATTTAGATTTGTGTAGTGATTCTCTGTTGGAGAACAACTTTTCAGATGGTATCTCGGAACCTTTGGAGACGGTAGTAGAACATTTGAGCACCACGCTGGAGCCTGTGAGCAGTGGTTGCTCACTGATTCTCACATCTCCAGGACAGAAGTCTGAGGTTTGTGCTGATCAAAAATGCATGTGTTGTAAGAGGTTAGAAAGCGCTGACTCTTTGGCAGAAGAGAGGGGTCTCCTCTTCAATCTAGACTTTAGGAGATAAAATGATAAAGTGGGACTTCAAGTGAGGGATGTTCAGAGACGTTGACTGCTATAAGAAGACTGCAAACTAGGAAGGGATAAATGAGGTGAAACCTTGGAGTTCCTTGCAGGTTTGCTAACCCATGCTGATGTGTTCCTTCACTGATTTTTTTTTTTTTACCTTCACTGATTTTTATTTTCATACCTGCTCCCTGGGCGCCCACTCAAAGCCACGCACTGTACTCATTGCTAATGATATGAGAGTGAGCAGGTACGGCTCTCCCGGCAGACTAGCATTCTGTGAACCTGGAGAGCGAACTGTGTTTTCTCAGCTACATTCTCCACATCCATGCAGTTCGCTGTGTTCTTTCCCTGAGTTGCTCTCCCCTGGTCTCACTGCGGTCCCCCTTGACCATTTCAGTCTTGCCTTGGCTGTGCCGGCTGTGCTCCCCAAGGAGGACTAACAGGATAAGACAAAGCAAGCATTGTGCTGCTCTGAGTCAGCAATGTTGATTAATAGCGAGAGTTACTAAAGGAAAAGTCAATATTTCCTTCCATCTTGTTGATATTTTAGGGTTTCATTTGTTCTTTCTTTTTAGCAAAAATCTGTATGTCGTTTTCCCATTCTGAGAAATAGAGATAGCTCTTACTCTTCAGCAAAGAGTGTTTTATTTCATCCGTATAAATAGAGAAGTTTGTATGAATTCCAGATCCTTTACTTTAACCAGACTGATATTTGCCATTCTTTTTTGTAGTTAAAGAAGAGGAATTGTTTGAACTAACTGGAAAACCAGTTTTTGTTGTTTTTTTTTTATCGTAAAAGTTTTTAGACTATTCCTTAAAGAAATTGGAAGTGAAAAGCATTTTACCAGCCTGCAGAACTCCCAGATTTTTATTTGTCATGTTATTTTGGCTTCTTTTCCCATGGACTCCATCGTCTGTCTTAACTCTGTGAGGAAGAAGGTTTTCGTGGCTGTGGAGGAAAGGGGAGAGAGTTGCCACTGAGACATCAGCTGGTATCTCACCATGCGCGTGGAGAAGGCTGTGCTAGACAGGGCAGCTGGCTGCTCGTCCAGGGTGCAGAAAACACCTTGAGACAGCTGCTGCTGCTCAGTGGTGCCTGTCTAACCCCTCTTCTCTGACCCCTGCAGATGGTGGTGAGTGCTATCGTGGACACGTTGAAGACAGCGTTCCCTCGCTCTGAGCCCCAGAGCCCCACAGAGGAGCTGAGTGAGGCCGAGACAGACAATAAGCCCCAGACAGAAGGCAAGAAGGCTGCCAAGTGAGACACCCTTCCCAGTTCTCAGGGGATCCCCAGTTTTCAGTCAAAGCCCATCCCTGGTCTTAGGTCCTAGAATAGAGGGGAGGGGTCATCTGTGCCTGTTTTTATGCAAAGTCAGACTGTGGACCAAGCCCAAGGTCCTGCAGAGGTAGCCTGGCGTCATGTTGGTCTTGCCCTGGGAATCCAGGGCCCAAACTGACCAGGTAATTTTGACTAGAAGGAAAACTCTAGAATATGGATGTTCTTTTTTTCTTTTTCCCTTGGGAAATTGAAGCGTTTCTTTTCTTTGAGAATGAAGGCTTACCACTGATCTCCGTTTGTCACGGTTTCTGGCTCAGGAGTCCAGTACACTAGCAGTAAAGAGGAGCGGGCTAGGAGGGGCCCCTCGAGGGGCCACTGGTCACTGCCACTGCTCCAGCCTGCACTGGCAGCTCTCACAGCCAGCAGGCGGAGAGGAGGGGCACCCCGCTTCCCTTCCCGGACACCTCCTGTGTGTATCCGGGCCGTTACAGAGACAGTGCTGGTGGGAGGCAGGGGGCTGGAGGATGTTTATGTGTCTGTCTCACTGTCTTTTTCTCTGTGTTCATGTCTTATGGGCTGGCAATAACCCTCACAATTCTTAGCCTTTTTTCCCCCCTCACTGGGCCCGTAGTTTGAAGGGTAACCATGTTGCCTGTGCTTATAAGAATCCTATTTCTAGCAACATTGAGGTTAGCCCTCGTGATTCCTTCTCTGGTTTTATCTGGAACACAGGGGAATGGTGGATGTGCAAAAAGGTGTGAAGAGCAAAGACAACCTTGGTCTGTGGCACTTGTCTATTTAACTTTCAACAAATTTTTAACGAGTGCACAGTATGTGCTAGCCACTCTTCTAAGCCTGTGGGATACAACTGTGATGGACAAGTCCTTATTTTACATTAGCAAAAGCCCATTCACAGGCGCATTGTAAGCATGTGTGTCTGTGTGTGAAATTGCTCAGTCGTGTCCGACTCTTTGTGACCTCATGGACTGTAGCCTACCAGGCTCCTCTGTCTATGGGGTTCTCCAGGCAAGAATACTGGAGTGTGTTGCCATTTCCTTCTCCAGGGGCTCTTCCCAACCCAGGGATCAAACCCCAGTCTCCCGCATTGCAGGCAGACGCTTTACCCTCTGAACCACCAGGGAAGCCCTATTGTAAGCATAGCTCAGTGCAAGAGTTGGACTGTGTGTAAGAATGTTTATTGTTTGGGGGATTTCAGAGCGAGGTGTCTCTTGGCAACTCTGACCACCGTAAGCTTCCAAGAATAAGTGTGGACATGCCTGTTTTGAGGTATTAATACTTGTCAGTCCTTCGTAGACCTTCAAGACCATGAATTACACGCTGTTTCTACTCTTTGTTTCTGTACCAGATCCAGACTGAGGTTCTCATCCAGTAAAATTGCTCCAGCACTGAATATAACTGAGGCACACGAGAAGGTTCTCTACTGTCTCCAGGACAGCAGCGCGGTGAGAATCCCTAGAGAATTCTTGGGATCATCAGTTAGGAGGTCAGTCCTGCCGTTATAGGCAGTTGGGATGTTTTCCAGAATCAGAAAGGAGTTGGGTGCCTTCCTAAAGGACTCAACCTACATCCGGGTCGGTGGTTTTTATTCTAGGAGTATTTCCTCAGACTGGTTTGGAATTCCTGTGAGTTCTGGGCTGGTCGGTTGGCTTCTCAAGGGGGGTGGGCTTCTCAAGGGTAGTAGGCTTGGGATGATAGATGATAGAATGAGAAAGCCAGCTCCTGGAAGGAAACACGATTTTTGTAGCAGAGGAAACTACGGAGGCATTGTTCTCCTTGCAGTTTAGGTTAAAACAAGCACCTTTTCCTTAGTTGGTCACAGGCTCAGTGGGGTCCTCTGCTCGAGACGCGCGCAGGGAACTGATGGGAGCCACAGTGAGGCAGCTGCCCCCACTCCCTGCGCCCTGCCTCTGACACAGCCCTTGCTCTCGCCTCAGGAGTCAGAGACCCTCTCTGTGTCTGGGATGGAATCCTTTATTGAAAAACAGGCAAAGTTACTAGAAGTGCAGCCAGCAGACGCTCCCGGAAGAGATTCTGAACAGACCGCTGAGGGGTGTGTGGGCGATCTCGTGTCAGATGCTCCCTCTCCAGCCCAAGGCCTCAGCAGCAGTGATCCAGGTGAGTGACAGTGGGGAGCCTAGTGTGTCCGCTGGCTTATGACTGTTGGGCGGCTCTGTCGGGTGCCAGGGCACAGAATGGCACAGTCCCAGGGCCGAGTGGATCAGAAGAACTCAGGGCGTCCAGTCCAGCGAGGTAAGGCTCATGCTTCTGTTAATAGTAGTGTCGTTATTTAAGTTGTTCCTAATGGACTTCAAGGAGATCCAACCAGTCCATCCTAAAGGAGATCAGTCCTGGGTGTTCATTGGAAGGACTGATGTTGAAGCTGAAACTCCAGTATTTTGGCCACCTGATGTGAAAACTCATTTGAAAAGACCCTGATGCTGGGAAAGATTGAGGGTAGGAGGAGAAGGGGACAGAGGATAAGATGGTTGGATGGCACCACCGACTCAATGGACATGGGTTTGGGTGGACTCTGGGAGTTGGTGATGGACAGGGAGGCCTGGCATGCTGCGGTTGCTGGGGTTGCAAAGAGTTGGACACGACTGAGCAACTGAACTGAATGTACATTGGCATTATCTTGGGATTGCTCCCTTCATTGAGAACCTGTCTTCTTGGGTGTCTGTGGTACCACTTTCCGGTCTTCCTGTCTCTCCTGTCATCCCTCCTGTGTTCCTTCTGTCGGCTCCTCAGCCTTCCAGAGCTTCATTCTGTCCCTACTCTGCACACTTGTCCTGTGAGCGCCTCTGTTGATCAGTGTCAGCCCTGACATGTGTGCTGGTGATGCCTCAGTCCTGGAGGTGTGTTTCCGCTTGCCTGCCTTAAATCTCCACCTAGGTGAACTGTGTGCTCAGTCTGTCCGTCGTGTCTGACTCTGCGACACCATGGACTGTGGCCTGCCAGACTCCTTTGTCCGTGGGATTTCCCAGGCAGGAATACTGGAGTGGGCTTGCCATTCCCTACTCCAGGGGAATCCTCCTGACCCAGGGATTGAACCCGCATCTCATGTGTCTCCTGCATTGGCAGTTGGATTCTTTACCACTAGTACTTCCTGGGAAGCCCAGATGTACTGCAGGGCAGCTGAAATACAGCTTGCACAAAATGGAATTTCTCTTTTCCTCTGGATCTGTTCCTTCTGTTGTGTTCACTGCCGTGGCCAACAATGCCACCTGCTTACCCAGAGTAGAGCAGAGGGAGGTGAGGTGAGGACACCGCTCTGTCCTCAGGAGCATTTGAGGCAGGTCAGGTGTGCTTCCTGGAGGTCAGCGTTCTCTGCAGAGGGCGAGTTAGGAAGCCTGGATACTGGTAGATATGCTGTGCTAGAACTTATGAGAACAAAGACTTTCAAATCCCGCAAGACAAAGGCTTCCCTTGCAAACAAAAGATCACAAAATCCTGGGCTCAGAAGAGGAAAAACGGCTGACTTCACCATTGTTTCTCAGGCGCCCACGGTCAGTCCACACTGTGGACCTCAGCTCAACTCTGTGAAAGATGGAGTTTACAACCCCAGCTCTTCACACACGTCTCACTGGTTAAGTAAACCAAGTGTTAATGAGAACAAAAGCATCAAGAGAACTATGAGAAATTATAGATAAGATGGGATGGGTAAGATAATGTAATTCTAGCCAAAATCAAGTCTTTAAATGTTGTGCATTATCTCTCTAAAGGGGTCATTTATTCCTGTGCCATTCTTTTAGCCCTGAGAGGCTCCACGTGCTGTCATGGTAGATAATTTACCACTTTCCCCGAGAGGACCTGGGACCTTGTTGCTTTCACTTATTGTTGCTGCTGTGACCACTTGTCACCACATGGTGGCAGCCCTGCGTGTGTTCATGCTAAGTCTCTTCAGCGGTGTCTCTGCAGCTGCATGGACTGCAGCCCGCCAGGCTCCTCCGGCCATGGGATTCTCCAGGCAAGAATCCTGGAGTGGGTTGCTGTGCAGCTCTAGGTACATGCTAAACTTGGAAAGAGAAGAGAATTGAAGAGGGACATTGAGGAATGCTATTTTTCCAAGGAGCTGAGTATCACATTTCAAGCAAATAACCAGAAAGCAGACACATCAGCTCCTATGCCCCCTTGAAGTACAGAAAAAAAGGAGAATATATACTTGATGGGAGTAAGAAGAAAGTAAGATTAAGTTCTAGCACATTTACCTGAGTTGGACATCGTTCACATTCTACAAGAACCCTTAACTGAGCAGTGCTTGGGCACACTTGCACAGAGAAAACCCACTGGCCCTAGACTAATACAGTTACTGTTGTGATTAATTATAACTTTAATCACAGCTGTAGTGCCAGATAGAAGAGGATTTTTTCAGGAACACTCTGTTGTTCTGGGGCAGTCTCCTGAAAGGCAAGTCAGAGGTGACAGGGGGACCCCATGAACAGGGTTAGAGAACAGACGCTTCCATCCATAGAATACATCTGTTTGAAAAAGTTCTGCTTAGCGTGGGTATGAGCGTGTTTGTGGCCCTTGCCATCTTTGAAACAGGAAAGAAATGAGTAATCATCATGGCCTTTTACCAAAAGTGCAGTGTTCTTCCCAGAACCACATGTTATCTCAAAATCAAACTGAGGTCTCCTGGATCCTAACCCTCAGCTCTGTGTAATGGAGTTGCTTTCAAAGCCACTTGCTTATGGAAAACAAGTCCCACATCTGCTGCCCCGCACATTTCCCTGCTGCCCTGCGGAGGCGAGTGGATGGAAGGGAAAGGGACCAGGCCTTGCCAATTCCAGTTTGTCACCAGTTGTGAGCTCTTACTTGGAACAAAACGTGTTCAGCTGCCTGGGGGAAATACAGAAGAAACAGCAGGAAAGTAGGCAAAATAGTTATATATAAAATCTTTTTAAATATTTTATAAATAAAAAATTACTCAGTGACTTAGGAACATAAATTGTAAGGAAAGACAGAACCTACCACTGAACTTTGTAGAGATGCAGTAAATGTCTCTTGACTTGGCTACAGATAGATTACACAAATGTGAGATGGCTGACATAAAGGTGGAGCAGACCCAGGGCCCTGAAATGTGTCCTCAAGTGCGGGTCTCTTCCGAGTTACTCCAGATGCCTTTTCATCCCCAGGAACAGAGACCGAGTTGGCCGACACAGCCCTGGACCTGCTTGTCTTGCTGCTCATGGAACAGTGGCGATGGCTGTGTACAGAGAGTGTGCAGAAAGTCCTTCATCTTGTCTTCGGGACCCTGATCCAGAGGTAGGCCTGCTGGGTGCCCCTTCAGGTTAGAGCCTCAGGTTGGACGGAGGTGGGAGGTGGTTCCTGATTTCTGACCTCGAGAGGGAAAGTGTAGAGTCCAGGAGACTGCAGCCAGGAGAGACCTAGGGCTGCAGGGTGACGTGTGCTGCAGGGCATCACGTGGTCGTCCAAGGTGTGGACGGGCCTGCTCCTGCAGGAGCCCCGGCATCATCCCCTGAATTCAGGCGCTGCCTCAGCTGAGCTCCTCCTGCGCCAGGGTCAGCTTTCCCCCAGGTTACCCCCAAGCCCCGTACTGCTCACCTTGTTACAGTGGACGCGTCTTCACCAACAGTCACTGTGTGTACAATCACCGTGACTACCAACAACGAGGAAGAAAAGAAAACCATCGTGTGCTCCCTAGTAAAGATGAGTTTCTCCAGAAGGGGTGGACATAGTCACAGCTGGAGAAGCACTGATGCGTGGTGGTGGGAATAGGACACTGAGATTTAAAATTTGGATTATATGATCCCAACACCAGTTGAATTTCCTGAAAAACTTGTATGCAGATGGAGTTTCTAGTGCTGGCTTCCTAACTGTGAAACTGATGCAAGCTTTGCTCAACTGAAGGAGTCCAGGGACACTGTCTCTGAACCAGACAGACACACACAGTGCTTGAGCTGTAGCCGCTCATGCTTTGACCTCTTCCGTGTGAGACATCCTGGCAGATCCCAAAGTTGGGAGCCAAGTCCTGAACCCTTCTGTTAATGTGTGTCTCATGCTAATAGGTCACTCTGAAACTAACAGTTTTATTAAAAAAAAAAAGAATTATGCATCTGTTCTACAATAAGTAGAAAATCCATTAACATTAACTTTCCTACTGGGCAACTGTCTTGGTCATTTTCCTTTATTCATTGAGAAAATATTAAGGTCTGGTCAATAATGAACAAAACAGACACGGGTCCCTCCTTTCACTTGTTTTATGGTGTAATGAGGGTGAGAACTGAGGGCCTTATCCATGTTCAAGTGAGTACTTGGTGGAGGCACAAATCTCCTCGGGCATCCCACAGCCCACATTCTTATCCACTGCAGCATACTACTGCTCTGCTGTGTGTCGTCTCTCTGAGCTTTGGAATCGTCATGGTGTCAGTCTGCAGGTGTCTGTGTGCATAGAAAGTGTTCCAGTACATGTTAGGTCTTCTTTCTTGCGATTCAGAAAAATGGAAGGATAAGGAGTGTATTCTCTGTCCGATTCCTCTAGCTTGTGGCCCCAAGTTCCCTCCCGTTCAGGGTGCCCCACCCAGGTCAGTCTACAGCTGCAGCCTCCACTGCTACTGTTGCTCTGTGCTCTCTGACCCGCACAGAACCCGTTCTCTCAGCAGTACGGCCTTGTGAGGCCTTCCCCGGGTGATCTGGTGCCCGTGACCAGAGCGTCTGCGGGTCTGACAGCAGGAGGCAGCCCCCAGGCCCCCTGCAGCACAGGTCTGTCCCGGGGCAGCAGTGTTCTCCGGGCACTCCTGCTTCCCCGTGTGCAGAGCTGCTGGAGTCAGGGCTGCCCTTCCTCACGAGAAGAGCCTGGAGTCAGGCTCAGTTCATCCCCTCTCCACCCTTATCCTGACAGTTCCACGGGAACCACACCTCGGGTTAGCTGGGTGGATGGCTGTCTGGTGAATGTAGCTCATGCCCTAAACAACATCAGAGAGGGCGCTTATGGCTGAATCCCGCTTGACCTGCTTCTCTTTTCACTTAAAAAAAAATGGATGACACCTTTTTCTGTTGTGAAAGGGAAAAAATTTTGAATGTTTTAGTGAATTTGAATGAAGGTAAAGTGAGGATGGCAGAAGAACAGAGTTTTGTGTCTTGGTACTTCTGGACAGTTCTCCATGACTGTGGTCTGTTAACCTTTGTTCACCCTACATGTTTTCAGGTGATGACATTTTGTACTTGTTGACTTGCCTCAAATCTCTTCCTGTCAGAACTTTATTCTTAAGACTAGTTAGTTTTGTATGAGCTGCAGCAGAAACAGGAACCCAGCTGTTGACACCTTCCTCGCCCTGGGCCTCTACAAATTAGAGTTAAATGAAGAGTCTCATCTTCTTCTTTTCACTGCCTTTCATCTTCTCTATGAAGCATTATTCCCAGCTTTTTAATGATACACTTGACCTTCTCCTCAAGTATCTTGTGCTGGGTTACATTGTTCTTGAAGCTTCCTTAAGACAGCAATCAGGAGGTCATGGAGAAGGAATCTCTCCCAGCACCGCCTCCAGCGGCTCCGAGGACCTGATGCCTGTGGCCCATGATCTGTATCAGCAAGTTGTGAGTGCCGGCTCCCCAAGGAAGAGACAGGGCTTATTTCAGGTTCAGAGTGTAGACGTTGATGGTCTTACTAGCTTCAGGATCCACCATCCAGCCAACATCTGTGGAGAGCTGACTTTGTGTAGATGCTGCGCCAACATCATTTAATTCCCTCAGAAGCCCTGTGAAAGAGGCCTTATAATCCCTACTTTAAAGGTGAGGCAGCTGAGGCTTGCAAAGAATCATGATTGTTAGGTCAAGATCACAGAGCTAATAAGTATGTACAGGCAATTCGACCCCAGGTTTGTCTGATGATCGGCATCAGGATCAGACGTTTGCCCTATGACTTGAGAAGATAAAAGCCAGCCCCCAAGTCTTTAACTCAGAGCAGCCCACATCCCCCAGGAGGAGACTGCCAGTCAGTTTGTAAAATGAAAACTGCATTTGAATGTGCGTCCACTCACATACGACACAGAGTCCTCTGCGGCACCCTAAAGCCAGTCTGTGTCACTTGTCCCCTGGACAGCTTGCATTTTTATTTTTAAAGAGGCCGGCACAGTGCTGAATTCCTGGGCTCTCTTTGCTTCAGTAAGCACATACTGTGGAATGTGATACCTCCCCAAAGCTGCAGCACCCCTTCCACCTGTCCTTACTACCCCCAGAGAGGTGTGGTTGGTCCCTGCCGGGTCAGGGTGGACCTCTCCCAGGCTGTCCCCAGGACTGAGGCCCAGGAGGCAGCATCATTGCTCTCTGTCTCTGAAACCGCATGCTGCTAAGCTGCATCCATTTGCAGAGCACCTGGATTCTCTTAAGTTCTAAAGAGAAGGAGAGTCGATGTTGATGCCATGAGTACCTGCTGCCACTTTTCTGGTTGACCTGGACACACTGCCATCCCAGACAGCATCTAGAGTTAAGACGCTTCTCCTTTTAAAAATGTCATCATTGTCCAACCTCCAGCATTATCATCTCCAAGAAGACAATTTCATTTTTTCTGCTTCCAGCTTTCTTTGTTCTCCTTGATCCCTCTAAAGACCCATATACATAACTGCCGAGGACGCCAGGGACTGCTCCCGGCTCCGAAGCATGCGTGCTGTCACTTTTTTCCCTCTCTCACACATATTTAGTCTCCACACCACCCTCCCCCCACGCCCCCGCCCAATCCCTCGGTCCTTGGCCTGCCAGGGAAAAGAGAGTAAATTCAACCTCATGACCCCTCCTTCCAAGCCAAGGTTGGAAGAGTTTGAGCCAACTGCGTAAATCTCCCTTGATTGTTGATACTGTGGAGAGAGTTGGGGAAGGGAGCTGGGGAGAAGTTAGATGCCCAAAAAAGGCATTGTTAAGTCAAAGGCAAGTCTGCACGCATGCGCGCCTGACCTCGTGTGTCAGCTTCTGTGCTGGGAACATCCAATTATGTAAGAGGGAGTGCTCCTTATTTGGAGTTAGAGTCAAAAGGAGGGGAGAGGGGTGGGGGGAGCAGTCTAAGCCAAGGCGTGAATCCAGCTTATGCAGACCACTCATTCAGAAAGCAGGAGAAGCTGACAGTGTCCCTGAGTGCGTCAGAATCAGGTCTAGGGACCGGAACACTCAGACACTGGCTGGGTAGGAGAGGGAGAGAGAAAGGAGAGAAACTGCTCCATTGATGGGAGAAGGTATGGGGCAGGAGCATCCAGCCACGGTCAAGGGTGAGATTATTCTGGAGTCCTGATGTAGAGCGAAGGAATGAGAAGAAGCTGGCCCAGATCCCCGCCTGGGTGCCCAGAGCAAAGCCATGATAAAAATACGAGCCAGGCTAGCAGGAGAGTACACGAGTGCCACCTCCCGTGGCCCTGCCCTCCCCATGGCCCCAGAGATGGCAGCAAACACATTCCTGGTGTCTGTGTCTGCGTCAGGGTTTCTTAAAGAGTATGAGTGAGTGAGCGAATGAGTGTGTGTGTGTGTGTGTGTATTGAGGGCACGTGGGAATAGAGCAGTGTGGCAGATGGGTGGGGAAAAAAGAGAAAGTTGTGTGACCTGTGGACGTAGGCGAGTAGAAAAGTACACGAAGTCAGGAAGTAGATAAGAAGAAGAAAAAGAATATGTCAGGTTATGTTGTTGAGCAGGCTGTGGGTCCAGGAGAAAATTCAGTGGTAAGCTCTGAACCCTGCACCAGGTCATGGGATCGTCTTCCAAGGGGAGAGGTCTCTACGAGCCATCTCCCAGGCAAGGTCAGGAGATGGCGTATGGGTGGCGTGTGTGCCCATTGCAGAGGGCCATGCTGGCAGCCGGCAGTTACAAGTGATGACCAAGAATTCTCGTCATCCATTCTCTGGTCACTCCACAACCTTGGGTTTCTCAGTGGGTATGTCTAAGTAGCAGATAGATAAATGGTCTTCCTGGTGTTGATTATGTCTTACGGGCAGCTCCAGGTCCACAACTGAAAGGGCATGAGCAGCTGCACCCGAAAAAGAACTAAATACTACATCAGGTAAGCAGCTGTGGACTTTATATACTAAGGTGCAATTCAGTTCTCTGAGATAGACATGTATTTTTTAAGTGAGCAAAGTCTATTCAGATTAACTAATCTTCCCAGAATCATAGTAAGGGCCACACCCAGGATTCCACCCAAGTCACCCTGGCCTTTAAGCCCATCTCCTTCCCACCACTGCCTGCGGCCTCCCCGCTGAGCAGGCTTCCCCGTGAGGCGGTGGCCACAGGGTTGACCTCGCCTACAAGTGCCGTGTCCTACTTCT